TAATTATAGAGGGACAGTATGTGAAACTGGAGTACTCAGCACTCCAGCTATACCGATTCTAATAAGGAACCAGCATTCTCGTCTTCTTAATATAACTGCATACCCTGAAACTCACTTGAGAGTTACTGTATTATCCAGTAGTAATAACTTGCAAGTATCACCCTCTACTCATAATCTCACCAATTCCCATCCTAAGTCAAATTTTAAACTTGTTGCAGACAAGGAAGGAGTATATACTATCAGTTATAGTTTATCAGGTACAGATTCTCAAGACTTTATTGCTCCACTGCCAGTTAGAGTGGTAGTTGTGAATGGGATCGCTGATATCATTGGAGCAAGATATGAAGAATCAATACCTGATATGCTAAGCCCAAGTTGCTGTAATATGAATGCTGACTTATTATATGAATGTCCTGATTTAATTGATACAATTGTATTCAATTCGTCTAATATATGGAAGAGTAACAGTAATGGAGATCTTGTGACTGATGGGGTTGTATTTGCTTTTACTCAAGGACTATATCTACCAGTTTCAATAGCAGGAACTCAATTATCTCCCACTACATATAATACTCTACCTCAAACTGAGTATTCCTGTCCTCATTTTGAAGATACTGCTTATAGTTCTGATTGTTTGTTATATAATTTCACATCAGCCGACTTTTCCAGTTTACTAGCCAGGCAATTGTTGGGAGCTTCATATTTTAACTTTATTGATGAAGTACTGCCTTCATGGTTGACACTAACAACAAGAGCTCAATCTCTAACAGAGAGCTCTGCCTTTACATTTGAACATTACTCTACTTTTATTGTACCTGGAGAGAATTTTAATAGGATTGAGAGTTGTCAAGACTTAGATCTTATTCAGAATACAATATACTCAGTCATCTCCTTAAAGACCATGATTGTTGCTGAAGTTGTACAAAATTTGTATCATTACACACCAAATGAAAAGGAAACCGTGTGCGTTGCTGTTGACATGTGTAGTGGTGAAGACCCACCAGTATACATTACTCTCCCTCCTAGCAGTGAGGAATTTATGAAGAGTATCAGTCAAATTCAGGTAAAAAAAATAATAAAATGACTTTAATTGTTCTTTTTATTGACAGATGCTTGTTAATGATGGATGGGAAATGACGTTTGAAGAGAGTATGCTCTCTAGAGGCAATATTAGAATTAATGACACAGAAATACCTAGTGGTTATTGGAATGGTGTTAATTTTGTTGATTCCATTTCACTCTTACCACAATTTGATATCAGATTAAAAATTACTGCTTTGAGAAAGTTCATGGACTCTGATGTATTCTGGACAATTTTAAATGTCACTGGCTATGTTTATTATCAACCACAAACCTTACCAAATGAAGTAAAAAGTGATATAATTAATGTTTAATCAATTTCTGTTGTTTATAGGCTGAAGGAATGATCAATGGCTCAATATATCTCTCCCTTAATATGAGTTTTAATGGTGTACCAGGTAAAATGATTCTAACAGCGGAATCCAATCCAGCTCTATTTTCAATCATGAGTAAGCCATAAAGCTATATTACTCTAGCTTTAGTTCTATCTCTGCTTACATAGAAGATAGCAATAATATAATGATGAAGCTTGATTATTCAACTGGTGACAACGATCAGTTTTTTTCAAAGATTTTTCATTGTATGGATAGGGCCTGCCCACTTGATGTTTTTATTCAATTGACTCAAAGAAGAAATATTTCCTTCATCTCGATTCAATCAAGTGAAATAGCATTATTAATAGGCAGTTACACTTTCCCAAGAAAAGTATTGAAACACACTATTTCCATTGATTCTCGATCCTCAGATGATCCTCTGTTATCTAAAGCTCCCCTACAAATTTCATCAAACTTATCAGCAGGTTCTCAGCTTGTCCTTAATTCTTTCGTATCTCTCAAACAACCTGCAGTAGGGTTGGCTATTAGTGTTGTATACCAAAAGAATGGCTCTTTTACATCAAAGCTTGCTAAAGTATCTTTCTCAATGTTAAACACTGTCATCACTACTCCAGTAGAAATCAGCAGCAATTCTGGACTTAAATTTTCAACTTTCAATGCTGATGTGTTTTCAATGTATAAGGTTCAAGTAACA